GTAGATATACTGTCTACAAGAGACCCACCTCAGAATGAAAGATACACACAGACTAAAAGTAAAGAAATGGAGCCCTAGCTGGTTTGGCTCAGTGGATAGAGTGTTGGCCTGCAGACGGAAGGGTACCAGGTTCGATCCTGGTCAAGGGCAAATGCCCAGGTTACGTGCTTGATCCTCAGTAGGGGCCAGGCAGGAGGCAGCTAATCAATAATTCTCATCACCGATATTCCTATCTCTCTCTCTTCCTCTCCCTTCCTCTCTGAAATAAGTATAAATATATTCAAAATAAAAAATAAAAATAATAAGAGTAAAGAAAAGATATTTCATGCAAATGGAAATGAAAAAAACAGCTTGCGTAGCAATACTTATATCAGACAAAATAGACTTGAAAACAAAACAGAACACTAGGCCCTAATCGGTTTTGGCTCAGTGGATAGAGCATCAGCCCATGGACTGAAGGGTCCAAGGTTCGATTCCAGTCAAGGGCACTTACCACAGTTGCAGCCTCAATCCCCCGGCCCTGGTCGGGGCATGTGTTGAAGGCAACCAATCATGTATCTCTCACATCAGTGTTTCTCTCTGTCTCTCTCCCTACCTTCCATCTCTCTCTAAAAATCAATGGAAAAATATCCTCAGGTGAGGATTAACAAACAAACAAACAAACAAAGAAACATTACATAACTAGAAGCCTGGTGCATGAAATTTGGGGACGGGGCGGGGGTCCCCCCTCAGCCCAGCCTGTGCACTCTCACAATCCAAAACCCCTCAGGGGATGTCCAACTGCCTGTTTAGGCCCAATCCGGAAGTCGGTCATCCCTCTTGCAAACCGGCAATGCTGGCTCCTAACCGCTCACTTGCCTGCCTGCCTGATCTCCCCTAACCACTTTGCCTGCCTGACTGATCGCCCCTAACCACTCTGCCTGCCTGACTGCCTGATTGCCTCTCCTAACTACTCTGCCTGCCTGCATGATCACCCCTAACCACTTGCCTGCCTGCCTGATCGGCCCTAACCACCCTGCCTGCCTGTCCAATCATCCCGAACCATTCTGCCTGCCTGCCAGATTGCCCCTAACCGCTCACTTGCCTGCCTGCCTGATCACCCCTAATTGCTCTTCCTGCCTGCTTGCCTGATTGCCCCTAACTACCTGCTTGTCTGTCTGCTCAGTGCACGTCATAGCGATCGGTCGTTCCGCTGTTCAGTCAATTTGCATATTACCCTTTTATTATATAGGATGATAAAGGGAACTATCCAAAAAGAGGCTATAACACTTATAAACATTTATGCATTCAACATAGGAGCACCTAAATACTAGTACATAAAACAAATCTTGCTGGACATGAAGAAAAAGATTGACAGTGATCTACATATATAAAAGCCTAAGCAACCAAATGACCGGTTATTATGATCACCAGGGGGCAGACGCTCAATGCAGGAGCTGCCCCCCGGTGGTCAGTGTGTTCCCACAGTGGAAGCATTGCTCAGCTGACTGTGGCAGGCCAGATGCAGGGCTCATGACTGGTGAGCACTGCTGTGGCAGCGCGAGTCTCTCCCAATTGGGACTAACTGGGCACATGCCCGTGGCAAGTGCAGCGGGGTGGGGATGAGCGGGAGTGGCAGGCAGGAGCAACAGGCGGCGTTGGACTCCCAGTTTCAGCCCAATCCCCACAGGCCATGCCAAGGGACCCCACCAGTGCACGAATCTGTGCTCCAGGCCTCTAGTACAATCATAGTAGGGAATTTTAAGACGTTCGAAATCAGTGGATAGATCTTCCAGACAGAAAATCAACAAGGAAACACAATGGTCTTAAATGACACACTAAATAAAATGGATTTAATTGATATCTTCAGCGCATATCACCCCAAGCAGCAGAATGTACATTCTTTGCAAGTGCACATGGAACACATGTTAGGAAACAAAATAAGTCTCAATAAATTTAAAAAGATTAAAATCATATCAAGCATCTTCTAGGACTATAATGGTATGAAACAAGAAACCAATCACAAGAAAACTGAAAAACACACAAAGACATGTAGGCTAAATAACATGTTACTAAATAATGAATGAGTTGACAATGAGATCAAGGAAGAAATCAAGATACCTTGAAACAAATGAAAATGATAATATAACAACCCAAAATCTATGGGACATAGCAAAAGCAGTCCTAAGAGGAAAATTTATAGCATTACAGGCCAAACTCAAGAAATAAGAAAAATCAGCCCTGCTGGGTAGCTCAGTTGGTTAGAACATCATGCCAATATGCCAAAATTGTGGGTTTGATCTCTAGTCAGGGCACATACAAGAAGCAACAAATGATGCATAAATAAGTCAGACTACAAATCAGTGTTTCTCTCTGGCTCTCTTTCCCTCTTACCCACTCTAAAAGTCAGGTGAGGATTAAGAAAAATAAATAGCACACAAATAAGTAAATAAATAATACTGGAATATCACCAAAGAACCTAAAATATCACATTAGAAAATATTCATTCAACTCAATAAAAAGCATTAAAGAAGGAAAAGAACAAAAAAGACATGAGACATATGGGAAACAAAAAGTAAACCAGCCCTGACCGGTTTGGCTCAGTGGATAGAGCGTCAGCCTGCGGACTCAAGGGTCCCACGTTCGATTCCGGTCAAGGGCATGTACCTTGGTTGGGGGCACATCCCCAGTGGGGGGTGTGCAGGAGGCAGCTGGTCGATGTTTCTCTCTCATCGATGTTTCTAACTCTCTATCTCTCTCCCTTCCTCTCTGTAAAAAATCAATAAAATATATTTTAAAAAAATAAAAATAAAAATACAGCTAGGTTGAAAGTAAAAGGATAAAAAAAGATGTCATACAGACAGCAACCATAAGAGCTAGAGCAAGTATACTGATAAAAGACAAAATAAAGCTTTAGGACAAAATATGTTACTAGAATTAAAGGTCAATTTATAACCACACAAAGAAAGTTAATTCATCAAGGTATATGACATTATAAATTATAAAATATAAGCATAAATGAATTTAATATCATATCTCAAAATGTTTGAAGCAAATCTAACAGAAAAGAAGGGAGAAACAAATATTTGGAGACTTCAATACCTTACTTTCAGAAATGGAGAAAACAACTAGGCAAAGGATCAACAAGGATACAGAAGACTGGAACACTATAAATCGACTAGAGCTAGCAGATACGTATGTATAGAACACACCACCTAACAACAGCAGAATGCACATTCTTCTCAAGTGCAAACTGTACATTCTACAGAATAAACTATATGTTAAGACATAAAACAAGTCTCAATAAAATTTAAAACCTGAAATCATACAAAGTATATATTCTCCAAAAAATGGAATGACATCTCAATAACAAAAGGAAATTCGTAAGTATGTGAAATTAAACAACACACCTCCAGATAACCAGTGTCAACAACAAAGAAATATTACAATGAAAATTAGGCAATATTTAGGTGAATTAAAACAAAAGCATGACAAACCAAAACTTAAGGCATGCAGCTAAAGCAGTGTTTAGAAATTTATCTATGTAAACACCTGAATTAGCAAGATCTCAGATCAATAACTTAACCTGTCACCTTAAGAAACAGTAAAAAGCTCAAACCAAAACTGAAGCAAGTGAAAGCATGAAAATAATAAAGCCTAAAATGGTAGTAAATGAAATAGAGATTTAAAAGGTAGAAGGAAAAATTAGGAAAAGTAGAGAAACCAATTTCTTTGAAAAGTTCAACAAAAAATTGACAAAATTAAGCTAGACTTACGAAAAAAGATAACTCTCCAATTACTAAAATCAGTAACAGAAGGACATTACTACCAACCTCACAATTAATTCCTTCCCATTATTTTCTATCTTTCTCAAATAAACAAAAAACATACACATAAAACCTCCTTTCTTGAGGTTTAGGCCACACATAGCTTTAATACCATCTTCCATCTATCATGTTCTTACAACTCCCAGTTGCTCCCATTCACTTTTTGAAGACTTCATGTCTGGTGCACAGGTTTTCCTAAACCCAAAACCCCACAAAAATCAGAAAATATTTAAACATAGTTAATCCAAAAAGCTAGCCTCAAAATCTCAATTTACTTTATCCCAGTGGTCTTTTATTCAACTTCTAACCAATCCCCTCAGGGCCAAGCAATGGATCTTATCACCCTTCAAAATGATACACATTTAAATGTACTAACTCACTCTGACCAAAATTACCCATTCTACCAGCTCTCTCAGTAACTCATACCCACCTCATGTATTCAACTTCGTAAATAAACCTGTTCCTTCATTTTCTTCCAGACTAACAATTCTCCTGACTTCTTTTCTTTCTCAATGCAGGCTGAAACAAATAGCTGATAAACTCTTCCCTCCCTTATTCCCTTCCACTGCTATCCTTCCACCACACACAAATCCCTCTACGAAGGATCAATCCTGTAATTAACCTTCTCCATTCCTGAGTTTCAGTAGAGAAAAATGAGAGATGCTATACAGGCTGACATTATAAAATCATTTCTGACCTCAACTGACGTCTCAGAAATACCTGCAAATCCTTTAGCTTATCTTTAGTCAGTTCCATCTCCTATTCACTTCAACATAAATTCTGAGCCTTCACCCAAGTCACTCTCCTAAGTCCCTAAAACTTCTCCTGTCCCCACCACCCATAGCAGATAAGATTACCTTGCTTTCTGCCTTAGAACTGAGCTCTCAATTTCCTCTCTACAAATTTACTGTCCTCTCGTGCTCAATTAATTTTTTTCCCTTCAAATCACAGAAAGGAATATGGAAACCAACTGACACTAGTTCAGACTTGTCCATGTAATTCAGTTCTAAACACTGTCATGAAGAAAGCAATTAAATCAAAAGGTTCATCTAATGAAAGAGACCTGTGCATTTATAAATACACTTAATCCAAAGTTAATAGTACCGCAGGAGTTCAAATATAAAAAAATAGCCATAGCAAGGTATTTTTAACAAGCTAGTCATAAGGACATTTCATATCACCTTTTCCACATACCTGGTAAATGTTTGAGGGTCTTTGGCATAATCTCAGGAGATACCCTCAACATCCTGAGATCTGAAGAGTGATACTCCAACTCTCTGGTTGGTTCATGAGGAACAAATGGAGGCAATACAGATGAAAAAGACCGACTAATGTCCTATGAAGAGAGATTTTTAAAAAAAGAAAGATTAATTTTAGACATCATCTGTTAAAATACAGACTTCACTTTATGAAAATAAATACTAAGCAGTTATACCAGTTCCTTAAGATTCTATTTCCAATCCTCCTGAATACATATGTAGGTCATATCTTGTTTGGTCAATTCCAAAAAGGCTCTGTAAATTATTCTGAGGTTCTGGAAGACTACCTGTATAAAAGACCTAGAAGTGTTTTTCTCCTTATGATAAGTATGATCATTGCAGAATCTGAACTATGGCACAAGGATTTTTTTAAAAGGGAGAAGTGTGTTGTGGAAAGGAAAAAAGAAAAGGAAGTACGGGAAAACAAAGATTTTTAAGAAATCCACAAATATTTAGAATAATAAAAGCATGGGAAAACTGTATCTATGATCAGTTCCTAAAAAATAAAAGTCCTGCCCTAGCCAGTGTGGCTCAGTGGATAGAGCGTCAACCCACAGACTCAAGGGTCCTGGGTTCGATTCTGGTCAAGGGCACATACCTCAGTTGCAGGCTCAATCCCAGACCCTGGTCAGGGCGTGCGAAAGGCAACCACTCAATATATCTCTCTCACATCAATGTTTCTCTCTCTGTCTTTCCCTCTCCCTTCCACTCTCTAAAAATCAATGGAAAAATATCCTCGGTTGAGGCTTAACCAAAAAAAGAAAAAAAAGTCCTCAAATTTCTTGAAACAAAAGTTGTGGGAAATTTAAACTGATAGTGAAGTAAAGGTTAAATGCTGGCAACCGCTGTATTAGAGGACATAAATGGGCACTTTTACCACTATTTTTCAACTGAAATATTTTTTTTAATTAAATCTTTATTGTTCAGATTATTACAGTTGTTCCTTTTTTGCCCCCCCCCATAGCTCCCCTCCACCCGGTTCCCACCCCACCCTCTGCCCTTACTGCCCCCGCCCCCCCCGCACTGTCCTCATCCATAGGTGTATGATTTTTGTCCAGTCTCTTCCCGCACCAACACCCCTTCCCCCGAGAATTGTCAGTCCACTCCCTTTCTATGCCCCTGATTCTATTATATTCACCAGTTTATTCTGTTCATCAAATTATTTATTCACTTGACTTTTAGATTCACTTGATAGATGTGTATTTGTTGTTCATAATTTGTATCTTTACCTTTTTCTTCTTCTTCCTCTTCTTAAAGGATACCTTTCAGCATTTCATATAATACTGGTTTGGTGGTGATGAACTCCTTTAGCTTTTTCTTATCTGTGAAGCTCTTTTCTGACCTTCAATTCTGAATGATAGCTTTGCTGGATAAAGTACTCTTGGTTGTAGGTTCTTGCTATTCATCACTTTGAATATTTCTTGCCACTCCCTTCTGGCCTGCATAGTTTCTGTTGAGAAATCAGCTGACAGTCGTATGGGTATTCCCTTGTAGGTAACTGACTTTTTTTCTCTTGCTGCTTTTAAGATTCTCTGTCTTTTGCTCTTGGCATTTTAATTATGATATGTCTTGGTGTGGTCCCCTTTGGATTCCTTTTGTTTGGGGTTCTCTGCGCTTCCTGGACTTGTAAGTCTATTTCTTTCATCAGGTAGGGGAAGTTTTCTGTCATTATTTCTTCAAATAGGTTTTCAATATCTTGCTCTCTCTCTTCTTCTGGCACCCCTATAATTCGGATGCTGGTACGCTTGAAGTTGTCCCAGAGGCTCCTTACATTTTCTTCATATTTTTGGATTTTCTTTCTTTTTGTTTTTCTGGTTGGGTGTTTTTTGCTTCTTCATATTTCAAATCTTTGACTTGATTCTTGTGATCCTCTGGTCTGCTGTTGGGAGTCTGTATAATATTCTTTATTTCAATCAGTGTATGCTTAATTTCTAGTTGGTCCTTTTTCATATACTCAAGGGTCTCACTAGACTTATTGAGGGTCTTACTAAATTTATCGGCAGTCTCACAGATTTATTTAATCTCACTAAATTTATCGGCGGTTTCTAGAAAATTCTTGAAAAACCTTATAACCGTGGTTTTGAGCTCTATATCCAGTCGTTTGCTTTCCTCCATTTTTTTCATTTATGACCTGTTTCTTTGTCTCCGCATTTTTTGTGCTTCCCTGTGTTGGTAGAGTGGCTTTGTGTGCTAGGTGTCCTATAGGGCCCAGTGGCTCAGCCTCCCCAATTACCTGAGGTGGACACTCTTGGTGCACCCCTTTGTGGGCTGTGTGCACAGTCTTGTTGTAGTTAAGCCTTGATTGTAGTTGGTATCACTGGGAGGAATTGACCTCCAGGCCAACTGGCTGTGAGAATCAGCTGTGTCTATGGTGGGAGAACTTCTGTGCTGAAGACACCCTTCTGGGGCAAGACTTGCTTCAGTGGGGCTTTGGTGCTCACTGAGTCTGCCCCCTGAGTGTGTCCCTTATGGATCTGAGGAGTTGTAATTGGATGGTCCCACTCTGACCACTGGGTAGACTGGCTCTTGGATCTAAGGAGGTGCTAATTTAGCCTCTGCCTGAGGCTACCCAGCAGGAACTACAGAGATATCTGCAGATTCCTCTTCTTTGTTTGGAAGTGCCCAGATGAGGCCCAGCTGTGAAGCAATGCAAGCTGCTATGGGGCCTGGGACTTTTTTTTGGATGTTCTGGGTCTCTCTGACCCAGCTGCAGTTTGTTAGGTAATTTTAGATTGCAAAGGGCCAGGTCATTCATATGCAAAAGCCTCTGGGTGGGGTGGGTTCTCAGAGAATCAACAGGGTGGAGCAAACAGCTATGGCTGATCCTCAGCCCTGCCCTAAGATGTCCCGGTTCTCACTGTTCAGCGGTAATCGCTGCAAGCACCTCTTAGAGAAAGCCACCCTCAAGTTCTGCCCGCTGCCAGACAGTCCAGTTTCTCCCCATATGAGTCTGGGTCCCCAGAGACGCGCCTGGCACTGGCGTTCAGAGTAGTCGGGAGCCTGTGTCTCCCTCCCGACTGAAAAAGACAGCCGTGTCCTTAGTTGCCAGCCCTTTCTGCGTGCGCCTCCGTACCTCTGCACTTTACTTCCGCACCTCCTCTGAGTCTCAGTGTGCTTTTCTCTTTCCTTCTAGTTGTAGAATTTCCACTTGGCCAGCCTTCCTGTGGTTCTGGATGATGTCCGTTTTGTCTTTTAGTTGTATTTTTGAAGTGGTTGTGCAAGGCAGCAATTTCAGGTGTTTACCTATGCTGCCATCTTGGTTTCTCTCCTCAACTGAAATATTTCTTTCCCTTCCCCATAAGAAATGTCAAATAGAAAAACTTACAGGCTCTTCCTCCGATGGTAGTTGTAAAGCAGATTGCCAAGGCAGGGAGACATCACAAATTTCTAGATCATCAAGCATATTTTCTAAATCTGCTAGCTCAATGCACTTCCCAGTCAAGTCACCTTGGTCACATATCTGGGAAATAGTAACAAGTAAAATAAAAACAAGTAACAATGCCATTTCCTGAAACAAGACTGGAAAAGACCATGTTTTCCCCAACTATCATTTTATTGTGTCTCACCTCTCTTTGTAGTTCAGTAGATCTTTCACTGCATACAACAGCATTTTCATCTAGGCTACAGCATTCAATATCATCACCCAGAGAATAGATGTCAGATTCAGCCTTCCTCTGCAGGCCCTCTACAAAACAGGAGTCATTTTGCATAATTGTATGTATTGTAAAACTGAATTTGGCACCCATAGGCCAAGGAATTTCACCTAGGCCTATGTCCGCTTTCAGCAATGTTTCCTGACCAACTATAGTTAATGATGCAGCACTGATCATTGGTAAAGTACCTTATTACTTTGCATCATATGTCATCAAGTTTGCTGAAAAGCTGCTTCCTATATCTGCAGATGGACCTTCAATGACATGACTAGAATTTACATTCTTACCCAAAATATCGTTTGAGGAATCTGCAACTTCTTCAAAGGTTTGCTGCTTTAAATCTTGCGAAAACAAAGAATCTGAAGTAGATACTTCCAATGGGTAAATAATGTTTGAAGATCCTGCCTTCTCTGCAAGGTCAAGAGCAGAAAAATACTTAATCTTCCCAATGGGAAGAAATGGTTCATTGTCTACATCACACTGAAATAAGGCTGACTGTGTTTTGCAAAGACCAACAAGCTAACTGAGATTTTTCACTTAAAGACACATATGACTTAATCTCTGGAATAAAAGAAAGTGGCTTAATTAACATTTCCTGAGGAGTACTGGGGAATGATTTTATATTAGGAAACCAGTATAGGGAGCTAACATCATCATCACTTTTATGCAACAACGGCTTTGAAGCTTCTGGTTCAAACATGCTGGGAGTAGGATGATAGCATGAATGACTAAGTTTATCAACGAAACAATTTTCATCTTTGTAATTTAATCGGAAAATATCTGAATGGTTTGGTTCACCTTCTTGGCTATCATTTGTCACAGATTTATTGATGTCAGTTTGGATTTCATTTACTGTACTCTCTTCCTTGGAAATCTCAATAGAGGCAATAACTGCCTCAAAGGCTACCTTTGCAGTAGCATCAACATTTCTACCTCCAAAAGCAGCACTTGCCTTTTGGTTTCTTTCCTCTTGAAAATACAGTTGTTCTGATATCTCATTCAAGCTGGATGTAATAGTCTGAAGAGGACCACCAAAAGTCTCTACATAGAGATATCATGTCCCCAAGAGAGAGTATGTGTTTCTGAAACTTTTAAGGAATTATCAGGAACTATAACATTCTCAATATATTCTACTTCTGGAGATCTGGGACACACCTCTGAAAATAATAAAGTACTGCTATTCTCCTTTAGTTCAAAACATTAAGATCATTCTTTTCCCAGACCTTCATTTCTTTCATAACACTCCAAAGAAACCATCTTTTGTTTCATCTCATTCTCAGCTGGAGCCCTTAAATACACATTCTCAAAATGACTACCAGACATCACTCTTTTCTAACAAGCAATGCAAGAAAGAATATGACATTTTATTATTAAAATGAGGAGCAATTTCAAGTAAAAAAGAAACATGATCCTTACTGACTAGACATGTTTCTGGATGGTGTGAAGCTCCCTGTTTGGTCCATGGCATAAATAAAAAGGGGGCATTAAAATTGTCACTCCCCTCAGGACTTTTATTTTTATCAATTGGATCAGATGAATCTGAGCAGGAATCATGGTCCTTACTGGTTAAATATTTTTCTGACTGCTGTAAAGCTTCCCGTTTCCAATAGTGCACATCTGAACAAGAAGCATCAAAACTGTCACTTTCTTTAGGAGTTACATATTTATCACCTGTATCAGATGAAGTTGAAAAAGAAAATTGATCTTTATCAGCTAAATTGGTTTCTGGCTTCTGTGTAACTTCTTGTATCTTCCATGACATATATGAACAAAGAGCACCATAACTATCAGAGTCTTTGGGCTTTTTCAGTTCATCAACTGTATAGGTTAAAACAGTCGCTTCTTTGGTTTCTTGCTCAGGATGTAAAAAAGAGCCCTGAGACTCAACATCTGTACTCCCTGTAAGTGTGTGCTGAGATACATTAAAGCGACTGTTAACTAAGTCTGAAGCTACTTCTGAGGTTGCCTGGAATAAAGCTTCACTAACTTCCGCCGGTCGCGAAAACCCTTCAATGTCTTCGGACTTACCAGGAATTCCCCTGAAAATATACAATTAAAAAAAAAGGTTACATATTTAAAACACTTATTTTTTTAAATACCAACATGAAAAAATACAAAATTGTTATGTCACTGATATCAAGGTTATTTCCACAATGTGTTGAAAAACAAAGTTATAATTTCAAATTTTTTTAAGATGACTAATGACTAAACAAGGCAAATTTTTATATAAACAGAAAAGTGCACTACCATCTGTGACCCTGATATTTTCTCAGACTTCTCTAAAACAATATTGTCAAATATATGAGTAATTTCATATTGGCAAAAAAATATTTTTTAAATGAACATTTAAAATTCATTTAACCTGCATTAGCTCTTTTACTAGTCATTTATTATGCTCTTGAAAACCACTTAAGAAGTTATCTACTCCCCCCACCCCCCCAACCCCCAAAAAATACAACAGTAATCTAATAATTGGCTGACTATTGTGTACAAAACACTTTTCATAAAAGTAATTTAAAAGTAATATATAGCAGAAGGGCACATCAGTAAACACCTAGTTTTTATTTTAAGGTGCTTTTTTTTTTAAGTTCTAAACAAGGAAAACTTATATTTTTGGATAATTCCAAATGTTTGAGAATTCCAAACTTGTCTCCCATCATGACTATTCTTAAAGGATATTAATTTGGAATAATTATTAATTTGGACATGTTTGTTAGAAAAAATCTTATTACTTCATATTCACAGCTATAAGGTAAGGAAAGATAACAAGGCTCATTCAATATCAGCTGACCAAAATGAGAGTGCCAAACAAGTTAGTGACCATGAAATAAATGCTTTTTACAAAATGGGATTGGGTGATGAAAAGCAAAAGGGGAGATTTATAAAAAGAAAAATCCAGTGTGCCTTCTAAATTAAAATATGCCTGAAAAGCTAGAATATATTAGAAATTATTTTTAAATACACTACAGTAAACTGGCTCATTTTTACACCTACATGTTATTATGCCAAACTGATATGCATCATGTCTGAGCTGAAACTATCTAACCCCTACCCCAAAGTCTCAACTTAGGCTGAAGTCATTAATATTAGTAACAACTAAGAACAAGAAAAGCAAGAGTAGAATGGTTACATGAAAATAAAAATAAAAAATCATCCTACCTCAGAGGTGCAAAATCTAGTCCACTCTGGTGAAATATGGAATCAGGCCCAATCTCTTGGTCTTGTGTCAAACATGTCAGCAAAGGCAAATCAGGAGAAGCAAAGTTGTCTTGTATGACTGCAAAGTTTCAAATATAAATATGTTGGAAATACTAAAAATAACTGCTTAGCAATCACATAATACTTTAAAGAACCTAAATATGCTGCCATCTGAAAATTTCTACAAACTTTACTATAACAACATAACAGCAGCAGCAACTACCTGACAAGGTCCACGCACTAAACATATAGTATTTCACTTAACCCTCATGACAACCTTGAAGGATGGGTATCATTATATCCATCTTATAGGTAAGGAAACATGATTACATAACTTAAGAAATATTAAGTAATTTGTCCACATTTAAAAAGCCTAAGTGGCAGAGTGAGATCTGAGCCTAAGCACTAACTTTTTTACAAGTGCTCTTAACCATTATGAGTGCTTCTTTCCATTGTATATCAAAGTGTTTTCCATGGGCTCCTGGGCATCCCTAAGACAATCTCAGGAGGTGCCAAGGGTCAAAATTATATTCAAAATAATATTAAGGCCCTAGTAGATGACGCACCAGTTGGTTGGTGCGTCATCCCATGCACCAAAAGGTTGTGGGTTCGATTCCAAGGCAGGGCACAGTAAACTGGCTCATTTTTACACCTACGTGTTATTATGCCAAACTGATATGCATCATGTCTTAACTTAGGGACATGTTACCTTCAGAGTGTGAGCTGAAACTATCTAACCCCTACCCCAAAGTCTCAACTTAGGCTGAAGTCATTAATATTAGTAACAACTAAGAACAAGAAAAGCAAGAGTAGAATGGTTACATGAAAATAAAAATAAAAAATCATCCTAGGTTTCGGGTTCAATCCCTGGTCGGGGTGCATACGGGAGGCAACTGACTAAATCCACATTAAACAAAAGGTCTTTAGAATCTTCAGTAACTTTAAAGTGTGTAAAATAGTCCTGTGACCAAAAAGTTTGAGAATTACTGATTTAAGGGGGGAAAAAACTGTTGTGAATTCCTGAATGCCAACCTAAGTAATTATTAGAATGCCCTTGAATGTATACTAAATATAAAGTCAGTATTCTCTTATAGTATTTACACAACTACAAAACCAAAAATTAAGCATTAATAGAAACAAATCTGTACAACCAACAGGATCTGTACAGCATACTATTTAATATTAATTTAACTGGATGGGTGATATTTTGCTAAAACTAAATGGTTCTGTCAATATGCATATAATTCTGTTGCTATAGTTTACTTAATTTCAGAATGCCTATAATACTGTACACCTTCCCTATCATAACCACCACACTCTTGTTTTAATCTTTAGTCTGTCTGCTTTCCACCTAGATTGAAAACTCCATGTCTGTAGTATTCACAGCGGTATCTTCAGTGCCTAGCAAAATACCTGCTATACTTAGTAGGCATTCAAAATAGAATTATTACTTATTTACTGAATGATTTAATTAAAAATGAGAAACCTTTACCACCAAGGACTAACTGGCATGATTCCTCTTTGGCCTTTGCTTAGAGACTCAGTCTTAATCCTTCATAATCTAATTTCATAACCTTCATAAGTCCTCCAACCCTCTAAGAATCCTAAGGTCTTTTAACAAAGACCCCACATTTCCTGACATTTGGACACTGTAATAGCTTGGACCACTCTTTTTTGAGATATCTGTCTTGGCACTGGTTTTCAATATGACATTTGCCATTGGTGAGACTAATATACTCCACAATGACTACAGTATTCATGCATAACAAAACAGCAATTATAAAATTTCCTCGGCCATCAGATCCAGGGATCTGCTCTAATAATTTAAAATGTAAATGAGAAGCTAGAGCTATACAACTTAATGTTAGCAAAAGTTTTAGAAGCCAGACACACAATTTCCTACCCAAAGCTGAAATTATTTTACTAAAGAATTTTGCTTGACATTTTGCCATGACATAAGCTCACTTCTTTAAAAAGAACATTTTGTTATTAATATTTTTTAGAGAGAAACGGAGAGGGAGGGAGGGAGGGGGGAAGGGAGAGAGAGAGGAGCGGAGAGAGAGAGGGGGAGAGAGGGCAAGAGAGGGTTCCATGTGAGAACAAAACATTGATGGGCTGCCTCCCTAATGTCCCTTACCAGGGATTGAGCCCACAACATAGGCATTGTGCCCACAACTGGGAATGGAACCAGCAACCTTTCAGTGCAAGGGATGATGCCCAACCAACTGAGATACATGGACCAGGGCTAAGCTCATCTTTTTACTGTTATACTAGAGGCCCGGTGCATGAATTTGTGCACGGGTTGGGTCCCAATAGGGGCTGTCTTGCCCAGTCCGGGGGGAGGGACCACAGGAAGTTGGCCGGCCAGGGGAGGTAGGCTGTGGGAGCACACTAACCACCAGGGGGCAGCTCCTGCATTGAGTGTCGCCCCCTGGTGGTCAGTGTGTGTCATAGCTACCGGCCAGTCATCCAGTCATAACAGTTGCTTAGGCTTTTATATAGATAGACTAGAGGCCCTATGCATGAAAATTCGTGCAAGAGTAGGCCTTCCCCCAGCTGCCGGCACCAGCTTCCCTCCAGCACCCGGGATCCAGGCTTCCCATCTCCAGCCACCGGCAAGCACCCAAGACCCGGGCTGCTTCCCTCCTCTGGCCACCTGCAGGCAGGCACCCGGGACCCGGGCTGGCTTCCCTCCAGCCAGGCTTTGTCAGGAATGATGTTCAAAAGATGTCTGGTCTAATTAGCATATTACCCTTTTATTATTATAGATAGCCTTTCCATTATTAAATGACTGTAGTTCAGTGGTTCTCAACCTTCCTAATGCCGCGACCCTTTAATACAGTTCCTCATGTTGTGGTGACCCCCAACCATAAAATCATTTTCGTTGCTACTTCATAACTGTAATTTTGCTACTGTTATGAATCATAATGTAAATATCTGATATGCAGGATGTATTTTCATTGTTACAAATTGAACATAATTAAAGCATAGTAACTAATCACAAAAACAATATGTAATTATATATGTGTATTCCGATGGTCTTAGGTGACCCCTGTGAAAGGGTCGTTCGACCCCCAAAGGGGTCGTGACCCACAGGTTAAGAACCGCTGCTCTAGTTGAACGTTCTTTCTTATATAAATATCAAGTTTAAAACAATCCTATATATTCTCATTTTAACCTCCAGATTAGGATTAGAAAATCCTATATAACTAGAAGCCTGTTGCACGAAGAGATTCGAAGAGATTCGTGCAATAGGCCTTTCCTTCCCCTGACTGCCGGCACTGGTTTTCCTCCGGCACCCGGGACCCAGGCCTTCAGTCTTCGCTGCTCTGGCCCGGAGCCTTCAGTCTTCGCTCTGCCACTTCGCGCCTTCATATGCAAATTAATCGCCATCTTTGGTGGGTTAATTTGCATACTCTCCTGATTGACTGGTGAGTATAGCGGAGTGACAGTCAATTTACATATTCGTCTATCATTAGGTAAGATAAGAATATGCTAATTATCCGTTGTGCTGTAATGTAACGACCAATCTACAAGTGGTGGAGAGCTACAGGAGGGCAGGGCAGCGAGCTATGAGCAGCGGGAGGGCTACCAGCGGCGGCGGGCGGGTGGCCAGCTGAGGCAAGCAGCAGTGAGCTACTCACGCACGGATTCGTGCGCAGGGCTACTAGTAGTTTTATAAAAGGCCAGGTAGTAGATATCTTAGACTTTATTAGTCATATATGGTTTCTATTGCATATGCGTTTTTTGTTGTTTTTACAATCCTTTTAAAAATGCAAAAACCATTCTTAGTTCATAAAAAATAAGGCCTTGACCTGTGGTCTGTAATTTGCACGCTCCTGCTATACTCCATTAAAATACTCATACGTGATACTGTTAGTTTCCGTTTACTGGACTGTCTTCCCAAAAGAAGAGTTAGCTTTCATCTATATATTCCTAGCCTCAAAAACATACAATAGACACTTAGATATTTGTTAAATAAGTGAATGAAAATAAGCTGCTTCCACTTTAGCATGATAGCCTTTTGAAAACACGATCATAGCAAAGCTTCTTTCATCTACTGTCATAGCCATTTCTTCCCACAAAGAAACACTAATGTTACCAACATATTTCTTAAAATGTGAAACTAAAATTACAGTTGAGTTTGATGATCCACATCACAGAATTCATTGGCACTAATATTTTGATTTGGATAGCATTAGCTTATGTTTGAAAAGAACTTAAATTAACTCCTATTCATGCTCCTTTAAAAAACTCTTAACTTCACAGTTGAACCCATTTCTTTGACAAAAGCGAATTCTTAAAACTGTGGAGCTGTATTTTTTTTTTTTCAACTTTTAAAAACAAAATCTGAGGAAAGGAAGAGCAAAGAAATATTTGTCTGAATTATGATTTAGGCATGAAAAAAGTTTAAATTACCATATTTGTTTAGCATTTTTATATATCTGCAATAATCCAAAGTAGCAAAAGTACAATTTATTCTATCTCCTACTTTGATGATTTGAGAGGTAAAGTATTCCTTTTGTAAAGAGCTAATAAATTAGTTCCATATACAACAAAGCAGTAAGATCTACCTCAAACAAGTCATTTAACCTCTGTATCCAAATTTTTGGTTCTGGAAACTGAGAATAATAACATATGCCATAATCAATTCTAAGAATCTAATGAGGTAAACATGAACATTTGTTTTTTTGGGTTGTATTTTAAGGAGTATGGGTCTCCATTGCCAAGTAGTCAAAGGATAACACAGGCCCTAGCCAGTTTGGCTCATTGGATAGAGCGTCAGCCTGCAGACCAAAGGGTCCCAGGTTTGATTCCGGTCAAGGGTATGTACCTCAGTTGCAGGTTCCTCCCTGACCTGGGAGCTGGTTGGGGCTCGTGCAGGAAGCAACCAACTGATGTGTCTCTCTCACATCGATGTTTCTCTCTGTCTTTCCCTCTCTCTTCCATTCTCACTAAATATCAATCGAAAAATATCCTCAGGTGAGGATTGAAAATAAATAATAATAATAATAATAATAATAATAATAAAGGATAACATGATTTACCCCAAGAAAAAAATCCACAAATTCAGGACTGAGAAGGTGTACCTACTAGAGAGAAAGTTATCAACTTTCTGCCTTCTGTGAGCAATAGAGTATGATAAAATGAGGGGCAGCTGCACATTTAACATAACTGCACAAGCTGTGGAAACCAGAAATAAGCTAATATCTTTGAGTATATCTTTACAGAACTCCTTAACCCAAGAAAAGATTTAAATGGGCCAGAACCGGTTTGGCTCAGTGGATAGAGCGTCGGCCTGCGGACTGAAAGGTCCCAGGTTCGATTCCGGTCAAGGGCATGTACCTGGGTTGCGGGCACATCCCCAGTGGGAGATGTGCAGGAGGCAGCTGATCGATGTTTCTCTCTCATCGATGTTTCTAACTCTCTATCTCTCTCCCTTCCTCTCTGTAAAAAATCAATAAAATATATTTAAAAAAAAAAAAAAAAAAAAAAAAAAAAAAGATTTAAATGGACTTGCAGTCTGCCAAAAGTAAATATTTTATAAATGTGAAGTATTAATACTAGTTTGAAGGAAAAAAAGAGGCCTTACCTAGCAATGGAGAACAAAAGAGACCTCTGTTGTGTTTCTTTACTTGATTTTCTGATTGGGTCAATACACCCTCCTCCACAGAGAGGAAGTCTGCCGCATCTGTCTCTTCCTCTCTCACATTAAACCTGGTCTGAGATGTATCCGAGGTGTGGGAAGAGTCGATTTCTTGAGGAAGAAAATGCCAAGATTCTGTTCTCTAAAACAATAATTTTGAAGAAAAATGTTCTAAGTTATTAACTGAATTAACATACTTATTAACATTTCTAGTAAAATGTCCACTCACATAGCTTCCCATTTGATAACAATCTCATCAAAGTTTATAAAAAGTAAAGCTTTTCTTTCTATTTTTCCCAAAATTAGCTATATTTTAGACCTCTTTCCCATTACTACTTATCTCGTAATTTGAATCTGCCAGTGAATAAAGATATATTAAAAAAGGCATTCCCAATTCACGCCAATTTTTTTTATTTCCTTCCTATATGTTATCCTCCCACTTTCGTTCTCTATGAATCATTTCTCTCCCCATGCAAAGACACTTGCATAATTTCCTATTATAAAATACTACAGGCCCGAAATTCGTGGCTGGGGGCCGAGGGGGAGGGCCCTCAGCTCGGATTGCGAGAGGGCGCAGGCCAGGTCAAGGGACCCCACCAGTGCATGATCTGGGCTGGGGAGAGACACGGGAGATTGGCCAGCCGAGGAGGGACTGCAGGAGGGATCCAGGGTGTGTCCGGCCATCTTGAGTCTTGCTCAGTCCCAATCGGCCAGAACCCAGCAGCAAGCTAACCTACTGGTTGAGCATCTGCCCCCTGGTGGTCAATGCATGTCATAGCGAGCATTTGAATGGCCTTAGCATATCATTAGCATATTCTGCTTTGATTGGACGAAAGGCAAACCGGACACTTAGCATATTAGGCTTTTATTATATAGGATTTTTTTTAAAAATCTCTGTTCAGCGTTACTTTTATTTCTACATATTTTGTTGCTATGTCTCTATCACACAATGAGTCCTGTATAATACCTTTTCAATCAGTACCTTTCAAGCTCTAAATATTTTGACATCTGTGTGCAGGAAGGGCACATAAGCAGTTGGGTAAAACTGGACATATAAATTTGGGATTTTTAAGTATAAAGCCCTGGATTTAGATGAGAACCATAACATCCCAACACTTCAAGCAGAAGGAAAAAAACTCAAATGTGTACTGGGCAGGGAGGTAAACAGAATTCAGTAAATCTGCCTGGAACTAGAGAGTGATGGGAATTGTAGTCAACTATGCACTGCACACACACCTTAAGTGTTCTATTTCAAAAATTTTAAAACATTGTGCCAAAACAGTGTTTCTACAAACTACATTTGGGTCATATTCAGTTCCACAGCTTACAATCTTTGATTCTGGAGTTTAAAGGGGAAGATAAAGCAGCAAAGAAAGCTGAAAAAGAATAAATAGGCAGAGGAGTAGAAAGAAAACCAGGAGGAGCCAAGAAATTATTTTTAAGAACGTATGCAATGGTTAACAGTATCAAATGCTAGCTATTGCGTGCACCTAAGATGAAGACACAAAAGAGTTCATTCTATTCAGCTACATAAACGTTGTTGGTAACACTTGCTTTCACAGAGTTGAGATCAAAACACAAAGTATATCAAGTAGAAGAACAAGCTGATCCTAGCCAGTGATATAGAGCATATGAAGTTGACCCTTAAACAATACCGGAGGATTAGAGGCACCAACCCCTCTGTGCAGTCGAAAATCTGCTATGAATTCTGACTCCCCCAAAACTTAACTAACTTCAGTACCCACAGGGGATTAGGTCCAGGATCCCTGTGGATACCAAAATCCAGAGATGGTCAAGTCTCTATATAAAATGGCATAGGTCAACGCATACACTCAGCCCTCTGCATCGGAGATCT